GCTTATGCATCCTAGTAATATACAAACTACATTACATGATGAAATTATGGCCAACTGTCTTATCCTCAGAACTTTAGATTCTAGAAAATTAAAACCTATGTGGTTTTTTTTCCTATATCCTTGTTCCAACCAGTAAATCTAACCTGTTGTAGCCTACTGTCCGTTCCCAGAAAAACAATCCAGACCGCCAACAGGTTCAAAAGAAAAAGTGTTATTACCTGCGCAGGGACTGTCAGCCCTCTTGAGAGGAGACTGAGCAGTACCTCATTCACGTTTCCAAAGGTTTTTATACTTTTGCAATGTGCAGGTATGCAAGCAAGCAGAGTACAGAAGCGGGATATTGCGATTAGCCATTCTTAGTCAAACAATAACTGCTCTTAGTTGAATAATAATCGCTCTAGTTGTTTTTCCAAGCCTTTTGAACATACATTTCCTTTGGTGCCTTCCCTTGTGCTTGTCAGCACAGCCTACCTCCCTAATATCAGCTAGTTCATTTATAGTTCATAGCTAGTTCATTTATAGTTCACAATGGCTTCTGTCAGCTCAAAATGGCTTCACTCTTGTCAAGGCTGTTTAAGCTTTTCCTAGCGCTACTACAATAGCTATTTCTTTGAAGTAGAGAAATACTTCAGTGCAGTGAATTACTTAATATGGTCCCCTCCCCTTATAGTCTTTGTGATCTCTCATCTCGGAAGTAGTCGTTACACGCCCGAGTGAAAAGCTACATTCCACAAGGTCAGCAGTTCAAAACTACCAGCTGCTCTGTGGGGGAAAAAGACAGGCCTTTCTACTTCCATAGAGAATTACACACGGTCTCAGAAACTCACAGGGAGCAAGTTACCCTGTATTGTAGAACTCTGTGGGTTGGCATGGGCTAAATGACAGTGAGTTTGAGCTCGCACTCTTAGCGAATGACTGGGCAGGACTATGTAAGCGTCAGCGGGGACAGCGAGAGCACAGGGACTTCTGCGTGCCAAGGGAATGGACACTGTGCTTGCTAACGCACAAATATTTCATCTGCTCAGGAAGCGAGCACTGAGCATTCCACAGACTAAGAAAATAAACCCTGGACTCAGAGATAAGGAGCCGAGTAAATGACTTAGCTCTGAGGTCAGGCTGAGTGGGCCTCTAAAACATCTCCCCTAGATTGTCAGGGTCAAGACAGTCTGACCCAGAACTGTCTCCTGAGGTCAACTAGAAAGAAATATGCAGGAGACTCAAGAGCAAGCTTAGTAAGCACACTCGTGTGGAGCTTGCTGGCTCCCATGTGGACAATCTGGTGTTGCAAAGGAGGAAAAGGACAAAGAAAAGTAGACCTGGCATCCCTGGGTAGGGCCAAATGTCACAAGATGCTTCTGGCTCACCTAGGGGATTGGGTGTGGGAGTCTGCACATGTGGGAGTCTGCACGTCTCTCAGCCCATGGCCTGCGCCGTCAGCTATCTTTAAGCTTCCCACTCC